GGTACAAGCCTGGTTATTCTTGGTATTGTATCGGGTATATTAAAAATAAAGGAGAAGCAAAAAATAATCCTGAACCTCAGCAATTTCTATCTATGAAAAAGAATCCAGAACATGCAAAAGAATTGCTTACCTGGATCCAAGATGCAATAGCAACTAGAAAGTTACACAATCCTGTCTATAGTATTAATGGAAAATGCAGTATAGGAGTATTTAGTAAATTTTTAAAACCATATGATATTACAGCCAAAAGATTAAGAAAAATCAGAGATAAACATGTTTCTAGAGTTCATAGTGGTCAAAATCCAACTTTGCAACATTTTGAATTCCTTAGCAGAGTTGCAATGAGACATAAGATAGACTGTTTTGATTCTGGAAAGTATTATGCTGAGGGTGATACTTCTGATTCTGACCTTGACTCAGATCCAGAGCCTGAACCTGAAACCCTAGCTCCCACACCCAAGGCAATTAATGAGAATACTTATGAAATTAAGGATATCTATGACTTATATGGGAGTATCTAGATTAGTTCATAACTTATCTATTCATTATAAAAAAATAGTTCACTATCATTGCTATTTTTAAATTACTAATTTGTAAATCGTTCACGATTGCCAGTAGATCAATCGGTCCTTGGTTCATACTAAATAATTCATGAATGAATTGATCACTGAATCCGAAATTAGTTTTTAAAAAATCTGCAAATTAGGTTTGTTAATAACAAGAAAAATAGGATAGGTAAATTATAAATTGCAAAGACTTATCTAGTCAAAATTTGGGTAATGTGTAATCCTGAAGGGACATTGCTTTGCAATAAATTTTTTATTATTAACATTATAAAACACGCATTATTTGGTTGAAATATAGCAATAAACAAAAACTTGCAAGTATGAATATTACATGCCTTAAAACTCTCGTATTGAATATTCTTAAAAATGGATCTCCTGAAACTATTGCAAGTGGTATTGAAGTTCCTGAACTAGATTCATGTTCTATAAGCAATGAAGAATTTTTTTTGCATATACTTAAAAAGTCATTCACTGTATTAACGTGTAGTCATACTGTGCACCGTCTTTGTCTTGAGAACCTTAGAGAAACTATGTTTACATGTCCTGTCAATAATTGTAGTACAGAAATTGAAATCATTAAAAAGTCACCACTAATGTGGGCTTCATCACAAAGAAGTATGAACATAGATGAAGGATCACAAGATCCGTTAATATTTGGTAAAAATTCTTTAGTGAATCTAGATACAATCGTAGAAGAGAACTCCAAAAATAATTCACAAAACAAAGAACCTGGCATACCTGACTTCACTACAAGTAATTTACCATCTAAACGTGTTGGTGAAGCTACTTCTGCTAA